ATGCCATGAATGTTTTAAATTTCCTGAATTCTAGTATGCTCATGGTACCTTCGGGTGCGGCTTATTTCTGTCATGTAGGTAAATCGACGAGGTCTGGGTGGCAATCGGTTCTATCTATGAAAATAATAGGCTGTATAAAATTTGAGCCAATTTGAAGCTTTTTTAGATGATGCTCAAAGGGATTAAAACTAAGGGGCAAAATTACATTGGTTTGAATGGGCAAAAAAACGCCTGATCTGCGAAAATACATTTTTGGATCTAAAATGCGCTGAAATGAAGAAAACCTGTTCAGCTCTTAGAGAGGCATCCAGGGGCTTATTCGGAACGAGAAAATCACACTTTTGAAACAAGAGTTGGGATAGCAGGATCATGGCGTAGCTGGTTTTGAGGTGCCGCGCCCATAGCTATGTGATCGATTTTGAGACTTTCAGATCGAACTTAAAATAAGTGTTCCAAAGTTGGAGAGGCAAATGTATCTCACAACTTGATGAGAAATAATGTACAATGGTTGTTTTAGCCCTTGAGAACTATACTTGGCCCTTTACAACTTAGCCTCCCATACTATTTCTCGAGCCCAGAACGAAATTGGTGTATACTTTTTATCTTGCACTCGAGTGATCCCCCCTACCCTCACCCTTGGGTCAAAAGTGTGATTTTCTCGTTTTGAAGGGGCCCCTGGATGCCTTTCAAGAGCTGGTCAGGTTTACTTCATCTCAGCGAATTTTAGATCCAAAAAACGCATTTTTGCAAATCAGACGTTTTTCCGTCCATTCAAACCAATCTAATTTTGCCTGCAATTTTGATCTCTTTGAGCATCCTCTAAAAAAGCTTCACATTGGCTCAAATTGTCTACAGCCTATTATTTTCATAGATAGAACCGATTCCCACCCGGACCTCGTCGATTTCCCTCCATGACAGAAATAAGCTGCACCCTAATGGTACCTCCAACTCAAATATCAGGTTAGAAGACCAGTTGAAAAAGAACAAGTTCAAAGGCGGAAGCGGTTCATTAAGAATCAGAAACCCTTCCCTCGAATATGGATGAATGTTTAATATGTTACTAATTAGTATAATTTCAATGCATTAAACAAATTGCTGCCTATATGACATTGTTACTAAGTTTAGAACTTTCCAAGGCTGTATACAATGAGGAAAATGTTCTCTGTCAGTCCACTATTAAGAGATTAATAAAGAAATGATTTGAGTGTGTAGTCTGGTTGAGAGAAAAGTTCATGCATAGTAAGAGCAGACAAAAAGAAAATGAATCTACCTCTATTCTTTTTCCTTCACTCTAACATAATTCTGGTTGCTCTTAAATTTCACAGATTAGGCGCCATTCTAATCCTAGGAGATATTCTCAGTGACTTTGTGACAGAAAAAGTTACCCGCATCATCTTGGCTGTATTCAGGGTAAGTTGGTTTTTATACCCATCCATTCTTTTATGCCGGCCCTACACACTTGCGCACAGGGTGCATTCAAAGCATTGATGCCTGCTGAGTCATTCCATATAGAACTTACCAGCCATGCAACCGCCCGACTCGGATTTTGATGATAAATTTTTTTCTTGATCAGACCACAAAATAATGAACTTCTGCAAAATATTAGGTCTCAAATCGAAAAACTCACTGAGATATGAATTTTTGAAGTTTTAAGAATTTTCAAGAAAGTGACGTTTCGAACTTCCGAGAAAGAGAGGGTCATCTTTCCCAATAAAATTCACACCGGGCCCATTTTTCGTCGGATTGAAGTGAAAATTTGACACAATGTCAATGAAAGTATGTAGATTTGAGAAAAAAATGCATGAAATGCTCGACTTCACTCATTGATGTGCTGCGGTTGATTGTTCGTTGTGATTTTGTCTGATTTTGGCGACAAAACCTTCCCCTCTTCAAATGCCCATAACTTTTGAGCTGCAAGTTATTTTTTGCTCTAATTTTTTTTAAAATGCTCCTAAGAGTATTAGAAAGACGCCTAAAGAACAATTCTGATGGTGTTTTGGGCTTTAGTATCTTTTTTTTTCACTTTTGTCCAAAAAAGGCGTAAGAAACTGAAAATAACACCAAAATTATTCCGCTAATCGACCATTACCCTGAAAAGTCAACTCAAAAATCGCTCATTTTTTGCCTGAATGGTCCTTACTGTGTGTACAATATGTTTGAAAAATAAAATCAATGGTATTTTGGGTTTAAATATCTTTTACTTCGAGTTTTTGCCCAAAAAAGGCCCACAAAACTGAAAAACACTGAAATTACGCCAATTATTGGCTCCAACTTTGGAGTAGCAACTCATAAATCGCTCAGTTTTTGCCTGAATGGTTCTAACTGCATGTGAAATGCGTCTGGGGAATAAAAGTGATGGTATGTTCGGTTTCCACAACCCTTCTTCCACCAATTTTACTCAAGGGAGGTTCGCTTAACTGAAAAAAGCGCTAGGAAAATCTCATTAACTGACCATTGCATTAAAAAAGCAATTGATTGGGGGCCCAGATTTTTCACCAAAAGACTCTTGTTGTATGGGAAGCATATTAACTTGAGAAG